TGAAATTGTGATAAAATGACTGCTTTTTCTTCTTCACTTTATTCTACATTTGCACATATAATTATTTCTATATTTGTTTCGCGAAATATGTATCGCAACATTGACCTTATTTTTTCCCATTCTAAATCATCGTGATCGCCTAGCTTGCCCATGGCTAATTTATTCAAATTGTTCTCCTTACAAAATAATTTTAAATTTATTAACGATATATATATATTTTCGTAAGTTGCCCTCTGGCGTTCTTTGTTTTTCGTTACTAAGAATATTATAAACCGGTTTTCATGTTTGAAATATGGCGTGTCCCCTATTACTTTACTAGTCGGTAATATTATACCGTTTCCAAATTGTTTTTTTAATTGATAATTTGTTCCTGTTCTAAAATTATATTGCTTGGCAATTTCTGACACTATATTATATTCTTTTGGTGAATCTATTACTGTGCCTATAGTTTCTTTTACATTACTATTTGTGATAATTTGCGTTTCTAATTTTTCGAGAAATTTTTCATATGATTCATTTTTTATTTCCTGTATAGAGTACATGCGTGTGAGTGCATCTACATTTGAATTTAAAACTCCGGGTTTGTAACGTATTTCGTATTCGTACTCCTCTAATTGTATTCTCCATCTAGCTAACTTTGATAATGGATTTTTCAAATTAAAGAGCCACGTTAATGGACGATGGTCACTAAGTATTATAAACTTCCTACCGTATAAATATGGTCGAAACTGTTTAACTCCGAATATTATTGCAAGACATTCTAATTCTGTTGTTGAATAGTTGCTTTCGCTTTTATTTAATGTGCGCGACGCATAACATATTGGCAAATCTTTACCTATTTCTCCTTGAGATAAAATAGCTCCGAGTGCTTTATTACTCGCGTCTGTAGTTAATAAGAAGGTCTTTGTGAAATCCGGATATTTTAAAACTGGTTCTGAGCATAACGCTGCCTTCAAGGTATCGAATGACTTTTGGCATTCGTTACTCCATACGAAACTCGTGTCTTTCTTTAATAAATTGGTTAGTGGTTTTGCTATTGCGCTATATGAATTTATGAATTTCCTATAATAACCACTTAATCCTAAAAATGATTTAATGTTTTTTACGGTTGTTGGTATTGGGAATTCTACTACTGCTTTTAATTTACGTTCGTCGGGTTTTATTCCGTCTTTCGTAATAACGTGTCCTAGATATACACATTCTCTTTTTAAGAAGTTGCATTTATCTGGTTGTAATTTTAAGTTGCTTATTCGTAAACGCTCGAAAACTTCTATTAATTTTTCGTTATGATCATATACATTTTTTCCATATACTATTATATCGTCTAAATATACTAAGCATTTTATTCCTATTAAACCTGCCAGAGCTGAATTCATAACTCTTTGGAAGGTTCCGGGACTCGTTTTCATTCCCTGTATCATTCGTTTGAAATGCCAGTGACCTTGGTTAGTCGAAAAGGCTGTTAACTCTCGTGAGTCTTCTTCCATCAAAATTTGGTAAAAACCACTCGATAAATCTAATAGAGAGAATAATTGACTATTTCCTAGTTGATCTAGTATTTCTGTAATATTCGGTAAAGGGTGAAATTCATTTATAGTAGCTTCGTTAAGTGCCCTAAAGTCTACTACTACTCTAAACTTTTGTTTTCCTGAATTGTCCATTTTCTTTTGTACTAATAATAGTGGGGAATTCCATGGACTTCTCGATTTCTCGATAATTCCATTTTCTTCCATTTTTTGAATTTGTGAATTTATTTCCTCCTGTTGTGCGTGTGGTAATCTATAAGGTCTACGATAGATAGGTGGCTGATCCTTTTTTAACTTAATAGAATGTGTACCGACATTGGTAAATGTTAAAACATCCCCTTCCAAATGAAATATGTTATTATATCGTTCGCATATTTCGTAAATAGATTGTTTTTCAATTTCGTCCATGTGGTCAGTTATTATTACTTGTTTCAAACGTTCTATTCGTTCTTTATGATCATTCGTCGATTCTACATTATATATTTCGTATTCAGTATCAAAAAGTATTTTATTTAAATCAAATTCAGATATATTTTTCGTTTCTTCCGAGATATTCAACATGCTAACTATTGCCCTACCATTATTAACGATTGATACTGTACTACTGCAATATACGTCTTTTACTAGTTCTTGCTTATGTATAAATATTTCTTTGTTTTCTATGAGTGGGTCAGCTATCAGTATTCCTACAATAGTTTCAGTCCGCGGATTTAATTTAATAAAACTGGTTTTGTCGGTCTCCTTGAAATTTGTTAGCGCATGCGAGGTCGTTTGAATAATTAATTTGTTGTTTGCTACATCGACTATTGCGTTATTTTTCGACAAGAAATCGTTTCCTAATATTCCGTCCTTGGGTATTGGAAATCGTGCACTTACGATATGAAATTCTGTTTTAATGTTTTCGCTATTTAATTTAATTAATATTGATATTTTCCCTATGGTTTTTGTAAGACATTCATTTATACCGCGTAGATTTATTTTTTGCGTTTCGTCTACTTCTAGTTCTTCGCGTAAGCAATTTATTTTGAGAATATTTACCTGACTACCTGTATCTATCATTAAATGTAATTGATTTGTTTTTGCGGCATTAGAATCGAATGTTATATGATTATTTTCTAGTTTTGCGAATATGTGAAATATTCGTTCGTCGGTTGTTCCGCGATAATCTGGTTTATCGTGCGAGTACCGCGTACCTCGTTCGACACGTTGGCGTTTCCCGAATTATTTCTACTTTCGTCGTTTCTCTTTTTGTAACATGAATCTACATTATGACCGATTTTATTGCAATATGAACACGTAACTGGTTGTGCATTATAATTCGTCGGCGGTTGCGTAAAATTATTTCTATTAGGTGGACGGTTGTTATTTCCGTTGCTCGCGTAGTTAGGTCTCGAATTATTTCTACATTGTGATGCAAAATGATTTCCATTGCAGTTATAACATTTTATTGGTGGTCTATTAATTGGTTGAGAGAAATTGTTTGCTCGTGGATTATTATTTTGCGCAAAATTATTCGGCCTTACAAAGTTATTTGGTCTTACGTTCCTGTTGTTCCTATTTTCATAATTCGATCTACGTTGATTATTGTTTTGCGTATAACTACTCGAATAATGATTCCTATTTTCCTGTTCTAATCTTAATTCTACCTGTTCTGACATAGCGATTTGTTTCGCGATTTCAAGAGTTTTAGCATTACGAGATTTTACTATCGTTCTAATCGGTTCTACTAATCCTTTAATAAATATTGCTAGAGTTTGGTCCCTTAATGTTTCATGTATAATTTTTGCTTCTGCAGGTTCTTTGCCTAATGTACTTACGGTACATAACTGATAATATAGTTTTTCTACTCTATGGCAATAATCGTTCACATCCTCATTGTGATTCATTCTAATCGAATTTAATTGAAGTTGTAACGACGATGCATTGGTTGTTACCTCGAATGCGTCTGTTAAATATGCTTTTATAAATTGCCATTTTGTTACGTTTTTATATTTAATCATTTCTAGTGCTCTACCCGTTAATCGCGTAGTGATATATTTTACTAATATTGGTGCGCTAGTTGCGTCGACTAAACCTACTGCCATATCACATGCATTTATGAATTGGTAAATATCGTCTATCCCTGTGCATACTGGAATTAATTTAAAAGCGTCTTCTAATTTTATGGTTACTGCCATTTTTTTATTGCGTGATTTAGATATAAAATCTAACGACTGATGTTCAAAACTTTCTGTGACTTTGCTACGTGTGACTACTCCTAATTGTGGACTTGGGGTTTTACTTGTGCTATCTCCTAACTGGGTATCTACTATAATATTTAACTGGGCTTTCTGCTGGGCTTCAAACTGGGCTTGGGCTTCTCTCTGGGCTAATAACTGGGCTTCTAACTGGGCTTCTTCTACTACACTAGTGTCATACAATGAATTAGCTACGTTCAAGGGAGATGTATCTTCTTTGTCCATAAATTAACTTAACCACCTATTTAATACGTTAATAATCATAATAATACTCAATAAAATTCAATAATGCCCTATAAATACAATAATAACTTCAATAATATGCCCTTTAATAAATTCAATAAACTTCAATAATACTTCAATAATAAAAATGCCCTCAATAATCAATAAACTTCAATAATAATCAATAATAACTTCAATAAAAATATGCCCTCAATAATAAAACTTCAAATAATCAATATGCCCTCAATAATTCAATAATAATCAATAAAATATGCCCTCAATAAAATTTAAAACGGTTTACACCATTACACTTATAATCAACTACCTAGATTTATCTTAATATGTCTTAATTATGTTGCATACGTCTATGTAACAAATTTAAATAACTATTCACTCACAATAATGCTGCGTTCATGGCTGACGATGACATGTTGCCGTTGATGATGCTGCTAATGGATTTGTTGGTACTGCAATGTGACTTATTTGTTTTTTGTTGGTTCCTCCTGGAGTTGTCTTCGCTGAAGAGTGATCAATTCTTCGTTGTTGACAGTAGCCTTTGATGGTTGCCTCCCTTTGTGGAATCCTACCTTCGACTGCGCCAGTGTTACATGCGGCCCTTCAGGGATCCAAAAGCTGGTGTACTTGATAAATAATAATAGTCAATTAGAATGGTAATCAAATGTATTATATTAAACCAGACAAAACAAGCAGAATAATAGTGTTGATTGTAGTGAATTTGTGGTTCGTTCCGAAGTTGATAATCTCCGTGTAAGTCGTGTGTGATGGCTGGGCGGCTAAGCGAGTCGTGTGGTGTTCTCGTCTCTGGATACATCTACTCAGGCTGTCTCGCTGTCCCCTATATATATGGTGGCGGCGTCCTTTGAAAGTGAGTACAGTCGTCCTTGATATGGACCTCACGGCTATGAAAGTGGTATTCGTAGTCGAAAACACTTTTGGGTGTGGTCGCATTCCTGGTTGTTATTATGAGCAAAATATATGGTATTGCGTAATCCCATTACACCATATATTTCATAGTTTTGTCATACACAATATTACAAATAGTTACAACAATATTACTTTCTTTAATCATGCAATAATTATCTGGATTAGTAATTGTAATTATAGAATTATTTATTTTTGCTTTTTTATATTGTTGATCAGTGTCAGTAGTGCTTAAAACAATACCATTAACGTGTTTTTTATTAAACATAGTACTTTTAACAGAAACATTTAAAATATTTAAGGATTCTTCACTGTATCTTCGATAGAGCTGTTGTAATGGATGAGCAGATTTCCTCAATTGTCTTTTAATTAACCTAAGACAATTTTCAAATTCAAACGCACTAAAATTGTCTAAAGGACCTAAGAGTTTTGCATCTTCTACCAAATGTAGTAGTCCATGGACGTTATGGGACACATAATGTTTTCCATATAAAATAATAAAAGTTTCAACAAAATGTTCTAATAATAATTTTGCATAGTCAGAATGTAAATCTAGTAGTTTTTGAGAACACAAAATTCGCATAGATACATGTAATGTTAAGACATGTTCATATACACGAGGATGTACAACCCCAAACAAAGCTACAGGACAGGTATATAACAACATTTGCCGAAGTTCTGTAGCTTTCCATTTTCCCAGGTTAACAATATCTTGAGGACGTCGAGCAAAATCATTTGTGATATAACTTCTCATATTTTTTAAACTGTTGTTTAAGGCAACAATTTTACAATGCTTTAAACGTACTATTTGGCATTCTGGTTTTCCACTAACCCACATGCTCATAACTTTTTTAAATACACCAATACAAACCAAGTGCATATAGTCAAATGGAATTTGTGAGACTGGTTTAAAGTTGGGAATACTTAAAAGAATAGATATACCTTGATGATAATCATCATATTCTTGTTTTGAGAATCCATCATCAGTTTTTAAAATATTATTTCTTACTTCAGGGAAACATATACGATTGTATAAAAATTCTCCTTCTTGACAACATTTAGAACAACTATTATATCCAGTATGTCCTTTTGTTTTGGTGATAAATGACTTCGCAGGTGCGTCACAAATAATACAATGTATATTCACTTTGTAATAAATATTGTTAAAGTAAATACCATTATTAGTTAAATCAGTCATTTCATCAACAAAGTATTGTAAAAATGTATTAGCATCATTTGGTTTACTAAGACCATGATAGATTCCAATTACAAATACATGTGATGTTTGAATAATACAACCCAGTATAGGCCATAATTGACTAGTACTACTTTCTGACAAGGGCAATCCATCTGTTGATATTTTAAGGCTAATCTTAAAGTTTAAACTGTTGAGTAAATCATCATTTTGTAATCTATTCAACACTTTTTCGAGTCCAATTTTCAAACCAAAATGACAATATTGATCTGGACTAACAATCTGTATTAAGGTATTTCTTGGAGTCTTTAAAAATGTCCTAGAAACTTTTGGAAGATTTTCCCCAATTGTTTCCTTTCGTAGTATGCCTAGAAGAGCATCCAAAGCATTTTGTTTAATTTTATATTCAACAGCCCAATGCTTCAGTTTTTCTACAAAGTCCTGATCTTTATTTGAAGTATTAATATTTATGTTGGCATTTTCATTTAAGATATTACGATCATATTCATCATTTTCTGTTGAACTACTTTGACTTGATTGTTTTAAATCAAATGTATTGAATTCATTTGAATTACTAATGGATTCATTCATATATAAATTGTCGACAGTAGAAATATTTTTGTTTTGGTTATTATTACTGCCTTGTATAACTTTATTCATAACAGACGCATCAGATTGCAATGTACAATATATATCACAATTTGAAACTAAATCTTGATCAGAAATATTGAGCATGTTTTCTAATTCAGTAGCTATTCTACGTCGTAAAGTTCTTTGAGAGACATTGGCAGACAGATCTTGTTGGTTGGTTTTGCGTTTTTCGGACATATTAATTGGGACTCTTTACTAATTATACAATTATATAAAACAAATAATATATTAATACAGATTTATTTAAATACATATTTATAAATGTTGTAAATAAATTAATCATTTTTTTTAACTGCTAGGTCCTTGCAATCTACGACCATAAGGCATAAATTAAAAATAATATAAACATAAACTTAAAACTGATATAAGGAAATGACACTATAATTTCAAAGTTTCAAAAGTAGTTTAATTAATTACACTAAGAAAATATTAAATTATAATTGGAAAAGTGAGTATCTTTATGCATTATTATCAATTTATATAGTACGCATAAGTATAATATAAGATAAAATATGAAATATACCTAGAGAATAAATGTAAATGTAGGTTAATTTTAATAATAATTCTCCAAGTTAAAATCATGTTTATTGGTACATAAGTATTTAAACTGTAGTAAAAACTAATTAATTAAATTATTAATTAATGATCATTAATGATATTGTATTTGCCTTAAATTATTCTAATATTTTGCTTTTTGCTGAAGATACAAACATTTTCGAATTAATTAATATGCAGAATTATTACAAATCGATATAAATAATATTTATGATTGGTGCAATTCTAACGGAATGACACTCAACAGTCAACATTAATAAATATAAAACCATTTCTTTCTCTAAAAAACATAATCTAACATTAAACTGTAATTTAGTTCAAGCTTTTCAGATAAAATTGGTATCATTTTCGATTCAATACTTTTATTTAATCTACATAAGAAATCTCTAAAAAAGCTCTCCTAGGTTTTGGTACAATTAAACGGAACTGTTTCAAATTTAAAGACCCAATCACATAGAAATGCCTCTATTCCTCTCTAATTAGACCACATCTGGAGTACCTATGCTTGTCAGATTTGAGAAACCAATAGTCTAGGTCACAACAACCATATTGAATTTATTCAAAACAAAGTATTTCGCTATATACTATATAAATGTAAGATTATTATACAACCTCTTTCTGGTTACGAGAGTAAGTATTCGCCAATTATTAATTTTTTTTAAAAGGTAAAAGATTAATTTCTATACCGTGTTTCTGGAAAAACTTTTAAAAAATGAAATTGATGATTCCTTTCTTTTGAGTATAATAAACATTAAAATAAACAATAATTGTTATAATTATTATAATACAAAAACCTCTTATACATGCCACCATCTTCTAAAAAATATTTAACATGTTCTGCTATTAAAATAAAACAGCAGTCTGCTAGTAATACATTTTCTAATGATCAATTATTTAATTGTTAGTTATACTATTTGAATATTTTGTGTTTTTTCTTTCACTTATTTTATATCATGTAAAATTAATTAATAATGTTAATTGTTCATTGTAAATGTATAGTTTAACTGTTTTAGTTTTTTTTGTCGTTATTGCTATATATATTCATAATAATTGGAATTTTAAAGAAGTACCATCATTGCTATCATAATACCTATGTAATTAGTTAATGAATTTGGACTTATGTCCTTTAATAAATTAAAACAAATAATAAAATCACTAAAGCTAATGTTTAATAAGATGGGATTGGGAAAAATGCATACCTATTTGACAAAAAATTTAGTTCTTATTAAAAAAAAATATCAAAGTTGCTTTACCTACCTACCTTTAAACTTTAATATTTGTGTATAAAGTTAAATGCGTAGGCCATAACTATTTGACATCTCGTAGATGTTAGGTATATGAATAAAGATAATATAACTATAATAACTTGCACTTAATATATCCTGAATACATTAAATCGCATCCAGACCAAAGAAACATTTGTCTTAGACACGTGTTTTTGCCATGGTAGTCGACAATGTTTCCGATTTCCGCTCATAAAACATAAATATTTGTCGACGACAATGTCGGAAAAAATTGTTGCTGACAAAGTGTTTTTTGGCGTGGACGCGGCTTTAAATGTATCGTACTTTTGTAAAGGTACTTACAGTTAAGATGGCCGCGATGAACAAATAATACCACTACGGGGCAATACTGCAGCGCCTTGACTCGAAAAGATTCTGAACAGAAGACAAAGGAAAGGAACGACGTAGTCTAAACACTCTAAACTCTTATTCAGTATTCTGTTTAAATTGACCCACTAGTCATACGAAAACTGGTCGCGGCCACACAGGCCGGTCCGTCTTTGGAGCGCTAGTGGTGATCGTCGCCAGTAGTAAGCTGCCTACGACGAGCACTGCCGATCGCCGAACACCGCTGACCAATCACAGACCGCCGGTCGCCTACTCGAGGGGTCTGAATGTTCCGACCAGTGTTGCCAGGTGTGTGGGAAATTCCCACGGCGCGGGTAAATTCTATCATAAAATTTTGTAAAAGGGACAAAGGGAAATTTTTAAATAAATCACCCATATGTGGGAATTTAAACAATTGTGAAAATTAAAAAAAAAAATATAATAATATATTATATTAAAATATTAAATACAATAATTATTTAGGTACTCAATATTATCATTTATCAGTAATTGGTAATCACAAAAGATCACGTGCAAAATGGTCATCACTAATCAGTTATCACTTATCAGTATCAAGTTTACAAATAATTATGTAACTCACCAGTCACCACAATGGCACAATGGTTTTAAGTGATGCTCAGATGCTTATTGCTTTTAGTAATCGTTATTCGTTTGTGTAAGACATTACTATGGATTATTCTGATCCAGATGACCCTAAAGACCGATGTAGTACACCAAAAAAAAAACGAGCAATGAGAAATGAACTCTCAAAAGAAGAATGTCATAGAGAATACAGAAAAAAACAATTTCAACAACAGAGGTTATCAGATGAGAAATATAAATTATGGTTAAGAGAAGTAAAATCTGAACCAACCAAATGCAAGTGTATTGCATGTAATGTTGAAATCATGTGTGGCAAAAGCGAGATTGAGAAACATGCAAACAGTATTAAACATTCAACAAATGTCAAAAGTTTACGTGGATCAAAATCCCTGTTATCGTCATTCACTAAAAGTAAGGAAAATGAAATTTTAGAAAATAATATTAAAATCTCTGAAATCAAATTAGCAGCATTTTTAGCAGAACACAATGTTGCTCTACACACCATTGACCATCTAACTCCTTTACTAAAAGAGATTTTCCACGATTCAAAAATTTGTAAAGGTGTAAATCTTCATCGTACCAAAGTAACTAGTGTCATTAAAAATATTATTGCACCAGTTGAAATTTATGAAACAGTTGAGATAATAAAAAACAATCCATTCTCTGTATTGGTTGATGAGAGTACAGACTTGACATGCCAAAAATTTTTATGTTTATTGGTTAGATTTGTACATCCTAACAGTGGTATGGTACACACAAAACTTTTGGAACTTGTACCAGTCAATGCTATAAATTGTTCAGCCAAAAGCATATATGGCCATTTCAAAGAGTGTCTTTTAAAAAAAAATATTCCTTTGAACAATATTGTCGGAGTAGCTTGTGATGGTGCTGCGGTAATGGTTGGAATACACAATTCTTTTATGACTTGCATGGTAGAAGATTCACCAAAAGTAATAAAAATGCAATGCATCTGCCATTCTTCAGCACTAGTAGCGTCAAAAGCTTGTTTAAATCTTCCCAGAACGGTTGAACAGTTAATTCGTTCAATTTCATCATATGTATCTGGGAGCGCAAAGCGTTGTGCGCAATTAGTTGAAATTCAAGAATTTTTTGATAACCAGCGTAAAACAATTTTGAAGCTTGCCGAAACTCGTTGGTTAGCACTTCACCAATGTGTAGTCAGGGTATTAGAATGTTGGCCAAGTCTCATTGAGTACTTTAGAATTGCTCTGTTCGAGGACAAATTAAAATCTGCGCAAACAATATTAGATGAGCTTTTAAATCCATACACTAAATGCTATTTTTTATTTTTAAAATATGCTTTAAATTATCTAAATACATTCAATGCTCTTTTTCAAAGTAGAGAAATTATGATTCACAAACTTTTTGACCAGTCATTAAATTTAATGAAAATTATATGTCAAAACTTTGTGAAACCATCATTATTGGATAATATTAGCTGCTTAAATTTTCACATTTCAAATTTATTGCCTGTCGAAGAAGTATTCTTAGGTGCTGAATGTCAATCACTATTAAATTTACAGCCCATTGATAATATTAATGTATTTAAAGAAAAATGCCAAAAATTTTATATTACAGTAGCAGAAGAAATTATAAAACGACTACCTATTAGTAATAATTTGTTTAAAGAATTCAAATTTTTAGATCCTGAAATTGCATTAGATGCAAACAACCGTGCCGGTTTTGATAATTTGCCTCTACTTAGCGAGCAATTTGGTAATTATTTTGACAAATTTGAGCTTATAAATGAATGGAGACAACTTCCCTCCTCATTGAATAATTCTCAAACTATACATTTAAAAAACCTTGGTGTGGTTGACAATGCTCAAATGTGGAAAGAAATTTCAGTATTGAAGAATTTTGTGAACGATTCCCCTAAGTTCCCAAATATATGTACATTAGCAAGATTAGTATTAACTTTGCCTCATTCCAATGCGGAAGCAGAACGAATTTTTTCTATTGTTAACGATGTGAAGACAAAAAAAAGGAATCGAATTGGAAATGATACATTAAATTCAATTTCAATAATTCGCTCATCATTCCAGGATAAAAATCAAACTTGTATGAACTTTAAGGTTAATAAAGACCACATTGCTCTACATAACACACACAATTTATACTTATAAATTATTTAATACTGCTTTCTAATTTAGTTTTTTTTTTAAATATTTATTAATTAGATATTATTATTACCATTTATTACTATATAATGTGTAATACTGTTATGAGTTAGTTTTTAAAAAGAATTAATTTTTATTTGTTGGCATTTGTTATTTGTTGGATTATGTATTGACATTCTTGATTATAAAAATAAAATGATTTATACGAAAAAATATTAATGGAAAAGGGAAGTATCTAACTTTTATTTAGTATCTATAGGCAGATAGT